TAAATGTTGAGGAGCAACAAGGTAAAGTGGTGTATAAGGCGAGGATTAGAAAAAAAAGGAAAAGACGGAAAAAGCAGACTAACTGACAAGGGATAGAGCAAAAGTAAAAGAAAAGTAAATGGGGGGAGGAATTTATGTCATTTCTGTGGACAATAAAGCACTGAATGACAAAGGCTTTTTGTCCTTACTGCAATGGCCGATGTTTAATTCCAACCTATGGCCCTTTGCTGCCTGTCATCCCCTCTGTCTCACTCCACTTCCCTGTCTCCTGTCTAATAAAGGCTTTAAAGGCCCAAAAATATTTTTTTAAAAAAAGAGAGAATGTCACTTCTTTCTAACACCCAACCAAATCTTCTCAACCCTCCAGTTGCTGTATTTTTCTAATTGTTTGCCCTCTCAAGACCTTATAGCGAGTTCATCCTTTCATTACTGAGTCATTATGCATGTAATCATCATGATGTGGGATCAGAAACAAACAAAAAAATTTTTTGTTAGATCATGCAGTTTTAAAAAACTTTCAGAATTGATCTCCAGCCTTTTAGAAGCTTTGCTACAACCCACACACACTCGCTGCTGTAATTAAATATGACACTCATACAGTTCCATTAACATAACCTAACAATCCCAAAGTCCAAATACATGCAGATTAGGTTAATTGTCAACTATAATTGCTTGCCTGTCAGTGTGAAGGTGAATGGTGAATGATTCTCATCTATATGTGTATGCCCTGTGATTGACTGGCGACCAGGGTGTACATTCACGTGATGTCAGCTGTAACCCTGTGACCCTCCAAAAGATGAGTGTGTATTGCTAATGGATGGATGGACATTAGCTGATAACTGCAAAATAATCCCTTCGGTTCAGTGTGTTTCTTCTACACTTTCCTGCCCAACGTTCACACATTCTCTTCGGTGTTGGATCGGATGGTAGAAAACGTGCTAAACAACAAATCAGTGAGACAGAGGTGGAGAAGGTGAAAACCTTTAAATTCCTCAGAAGGCACATCAGCAAGGATCTCACCTGGTCTCACCACACCCACCAGCTTCTGAAGAAAGCCCAGCAGAGACTTTACTTCTTAAGAAGGCTGAGGAAATTTGGCATGTCAACCAAAATCCTCAGCAACTTCTACAGATGTACAGTTGACAGCATCATCACCAGCTCAGTTACAGTGTGGCATGGCAGCTGCACTGCTCAGGACAGGAAGCTTCTCCAGCGTGGAATAAAAACTGCACAAAAAGGACATCTACACAACCAGGGTCATCAGGAGGGCCCACAACATCATAAAAGTCAATACACACACACAACACAGTCTCTTCAGGGGCTACAGGAGTGTGAAAGCAAGGACAAAAAGACTCTCACACTTTCTACCCCCAGGCCATCAGACTCTTAAACAGTACAGCACTCACCGCCCTCCCCCACACAAAATCACTCACACTGTGATGTAATGTCACTCTGCACCTTAAGTGTAACTGTGAGGCACAGCACCTTTCAACTCAGGTTTCTTTGTTTACTGTACAATTTGTTGCACTTATAAGTTATATTTTAGTCATATTTTATATAAAAAATTTTTAATATATTTTAACTTCTTTTCTTCTATTTGTGTGTTGTCTAAAGGGAGTCGTAAGTTTTTCATTGTACGTATAAACCAATGTGTTTCTTACTGTACATATGACAATAAACCTGTTGTATTGAACTTATAATGACTTTTTCTAATTTGCACAAGCTCAGAGTCACAATACTGACTCAGACAAAGGAAACAGAATTGTAATACTGCTGATTGTTTTCTCATGTACAAACTTGCTCATTAAGCTTTTGGGGATGTTCAAGGTCCCAACTCCTTCTATGTAATTTAGGGTAAAAAGAAAAAGAGAAAAAAAAGACCAGATAAAAATACACAAACCGTGGGTAAATGCAGTTCAGTGTGAAGAAACCTGCATACACACAAATCCAAGTACAAACCAACCAGAGACCAATATAATTTTTTTTATTGTTATTCCTTTTCTCAGTGTAAGTTGTGCTGTAACAGAAAGCCATTGTTATGTTAATGTTGTACAGACCAATGTCTCTGAGCTTGAGGTAAAGAAGTTGGAGTTCATTATAGAGAACATTAGCTCTTTTGTTATCTGGTCAGCTCTTGGCAGTCTTTTTTCTCTTGTTTATAGCTGTCATTAGTCTGTTGTCATTTCATAATACAGCCTGCAATTCACACTGTAATTTCATTTTGTATGATGGGAACAAGGGAGTAAATAGGGTAGGGATGGAAGTGTGAAATGTTCCTCTGCACAGAGGAGCATTCATTTAGAGTATCCATATTGTATTGTGAACTACATACACATTTTCTCACCCAATAGCACCCATTTATGAAAGGTTGGGATAAATGAGTCGAATGCAGTCAGAGCAGAAACTGATGTTGCACACTTTGCGTTACTTTTGCCCCTCACTGTCTACAAAAGTAACAGTTGGATAAATATTTCATATTTACATATTTCTAATGCTTCAGTTAGTCCTCCAAGCAAATGACCATGTGACTCTCAAATCCATCTATCAAGTTAAATGTTGCAGTGCGCCTCTTACTTACTTTACACTCTTACTTACAAAGAAAATCACTCCATTATATGCCTCTTTCCCAAGGGTGTCTATTGGTGACGTCTCATGTCTGATAAACAGTAGTCATAACACATCTGATGCCCTACTCTCCAGGAGACAGCCCTGGTCTTTGGTATGTGCGCAGCTCATGGCACAATGACTAACAACTCTTGCAAGTTTATTTCCAGATTACAGAATACTACCTCTTCAAATTTTTTCACATAAAAAAAGTCCTGCTAAACAATCCACATACTATGTGATGAAATCATAGTACATAAAGTTTACATGAACTGGTTACATAAATGCATTCAAATGTCTTCTCCCCTTTGTTACCTCCCGAGCCACTTAAGGTGACTATGTATATGGCAGAATATATATAGACACCTACAACCTAAGTATCAAGCAAGCACATAGCATACAACAATGATAACAAGATTAATTAGGAATTAAAGCATTGTATATTTCATATGAGTATTTTTACACTAGTGTCGTCTTCTTCTGCCTCATGTATTTTACATACAGTAGAGAGGCACCCCCAGGAAGAGGTTACTAGCACTTTGATGCCAGGGGGTTTCGATCTGCTCCTTCTCTGTGTATCCTTGCTGCAAATTACTAATAAGATGGTGGGGGCCCCAAAAAGGCAAATGCCCCTCCTCTCTTCCATTGCTTGGTTCTCCTCCTGGCAGAATTTGCACATAGGGTTGTCCAGTGACAAATACCCGGACCTGCTTCTTACCACTCATTGATGGAGCTTGCTGGGATAGGACCTCATGACCAGTGTGTAAGTTTCCTTTATCTCTGAACTGCTGATCTTTACACTTTCGCTCATAATATGTAACTTTTCCTTCAGGAACGCAAGATGGGGCGCTTGCAAGTACTTTCAGTAGTGTGATATAAGTTTGGAGGCCACAGTAGGCGTTATCTATCTCCTCTATAGGTGTGGTTTCCCTGTGTTTTGCATTTACTTTTGAATTGGACCATGCCCAGGCTTATTCGTGGCTTTCTAGTGGTGGTGTTGGTTGAGGGAAAGGTTTGGAAGAAAAGCAAAGAATGTAGGGAGACAAGAAAAATGAAACCACAACAATATATACAGATGTATACATACACAGTCATATACATACACAAAAAACATATAATTACTAACATATGGACGAACAAAACAACAGGAACAGAATAAGTAAACAAACACAGGAAAGGAGATCTATAAAAAGGCCTAAAGAGGAGCCACTTACAAAACAAACAGTCCATAGATTGAGCAAATCTGAGTGATTGGGGAAGATGATTCCACAGTGTTGGAGCTAAAGCAGCTAAAATATGTGGAGCACAATGAGGGGCAAGGAGATCTGAAATGTAACCGAGGGCAAGGTCATAGAGGGCCTTATGTAATCAGCAGGATGTTGTAGTTGATTCAGAATTTGACAGGAAGCCAGTGGAGCTCAGGAGATGTTGTTTATATGTATAACTAGACTGTCTGAATTATTGTTCCTGGCCAGTAATTTATTAGATAAAATCATTTTTAAACATGAAACAGTGACTAATAAGAGTTTATTTATTCTTTAAAATAGAGACTGATCTTAAAGTACTTTTTTAAATTCAAATCAGTATTACAGTAGGTAATGTAATATATGTAACATATAGATGAGGGTGGATCAAACATAGCAAATTTGGATTGTATATTTGGGTACAGAGTATTTAGAGTGCTTATTTTTGTTGTTTTAGTTACACAATAAGTATATGGCAACCACTGCATCTCTCCAGCCTCCTGTTTGTTTGTGTCCCACGAGCACAGCAGTGTGCCTCTCTCTCTGTCCCTAGTTCCTCCTAGTCTTCTTTTTCAGTCAGGCTTCTCTGACATTCATCTGACCATCAAGCCATATAGCTTGTCTAATAGTCTAATAATAATGACGTGATAATCCACTTAATGGAAAAGTTGACTTGATCAAAGAGCTAGAGACTCAGGAGAAGGCTTGACTCTGGTCAAAAGCCCTGCCGACGCACAACAGAGACCTTTGTGAGAACACTGAAGTCTGATGTACAGTATTGTTCTGTATGTTTACTGACTTGAAAGCAAATGGCTTCCACTTACTCTCTCCCTTCCAGTCCTCTCCTTGACATCCTCACATTTTCTCCCCCTAGCAGGTGAATGGTGTGGGAGGGGAAGAACGAGACTGATAATTTAAAGTAATTGGTCACCTCCCGAGTAGAAGCTTCTCTGCCTCCATTTAGATCCTTGTGATGAGACCACCCAGATGTTACCAATCAAAGTGGAGGCACGAATCAGTGAAATTATGTGAGTTAGACTCCTCCTGTTAGGACAAATTGCAGACTCTCAGAGGTGGGTTGGCTATCACTGTAATCAGAATCAGAATCGGTGACAGCTTAACCAGAAAATAAAGTTACTTAACCATAACACATTTTCACTTCAATGTTTTTATTTATCGCGCAACATAAAACAATATTGTGGGGTTTTTACCACATACACTATGTATTCACATAATACACCATACAGCTACAAAGAGAGAGAGACTGAACAAAAACACTTTTTTTTTTACATACTGCATCCTTGACATGAAAATAATGAACCAAGAACAACCCTAAAACTCAAACAGGAATGTAGCTGCCAGTTGTGTAGGTTCATTTTTATTTTTGTATGGGCCAGGGTCCAAGTCTTTATCCCGAATTTGGAGAGTGTTCATTAAATAATGTGTTCAAGAGACTTCTAAAAGTGGGCCATACACAGCGAGATGCATATGTGTATCTATGTTTGTGTGTGAGAAAGACAAAATATACAAGGTGTTAAGAGTCAGAGAGGGGTTGAGTAAAGGAAGTGCATGACTAGGGAGAGGAAGAGGGAGGCAGTACACAATTGCTATTCTTGTATTGTTCAAATATCTTAGCATTCAGTTACCATCAACATGTACAATATACTCAAAAGATCATTTCAATAGCCTGTGGTACTTGCACTGTACCAAATGTGAAACCCAGATAACAGTCTTCATATAATATGATTCTATATCTCATCCTAGTTTTAATGAGTTCAAGTACAATATGGAATGAATATTGATAGAGAATGTAATCAACTGTTTGAGTGCCCCCCTGCCCTCAAAAAGAGATGTAAATTTGTAGCGTTGTAACAAAAGACTTTTCATAAAGTCAGCACCAGGGCAGCTTCCTATCCTGTGAAACTGCTTGAATCAAAAGTATAGTTCTTTTGACATTCGAAGAGCTCAGAAAAATATTTGTGGTAATCATTTATCCCTCACATTTTTACACAGTGAATTTTTTTTTAAGGTGTAGCATCATAGCACCAGCTGACCGACCCCCCATCTCGGTACGTGCTTGGGAGGTGGCACCTCTCATGAGAACCATCCACCAAACTCGTGAGACATTTAGAAATTTACAAAGTTATTAAGATATCATGTACACTGTATCCTCAGCACCCATTGTTAGACAAGTATGTGTGTGTGTGTGTGTGTGTGTGTGTGTGTGTGTGTGTGTGTGTAATGTGGGCCATGCATTATGGTAAAAAGTAAAATCGGTCCTGTATCTGTACCAGTCCCAGCCCCTGCACCTGTTGGCCATAATGTGTGTATCATATGATCAATCTAATCATTACAAACTAAACAGGAGCGTCGTGATTTTTATGCCAGGTGCATACTTACTATTATGAGAACTAGATTGGATAATAATGATAGATACATCTAAACAAGCAGGGAGCAGTCTCTTACCTGATAGTCTAACACAACTGACAAAGATCGCTAAAACATCGCCCACTGATTCACCTCAGACTGGTTCCTAAACATACCCCCCCTCACCCCCTTCGGATGCAGTCCTGCACGATTTGTGGTAAATTTATCAAGGGCGACTCTACTTAATTCGCTTTGTTGTTGAGACTAAGATAAGAAGATTGATACCACTCTCATTTCTGTATGTTAAATATAAGCTACAGGCTGCAGCCGGTTAGCTTAGCTTAGCATAAAGGCTGGAAACAGAGGGAAACAGCTAGCCCCGCTCTGACCAAATGCACAGGATACGTGGCAGATCATTTCTTGGCTAGGTGCAGTGACTTACTGTAGTCTCTGCTGTTGGCCTGGTTACTTGGACGGAGTAGTTGGAGACATAACCACCAGATGTTCAGATTTCGGTTTTTGATTAAACAAACGAGATATATTGTGATGGTTAGATTTAGAGGTGCTGGTAGGTGGATTTTGTTACCTGTCGAAGGAGCCTGGCTGGCTGTTTCCCTGTGTTTCCAGTATTTATGCTAAGATAAGCTAAGCTAACTGCCTGCTGGCTCCAGCTACATATTCACCATAAAGACATGAGTGGTATCAGTCTTCTCGTCTAACACTCGGCAAGAAAGCAAATAAGTGTATTTCCCAAAATGAACAAACAGCATATATCAGGTTATGCTTACCCTTTTAGATTTGTCCTTAGCTTACTGTAGATCACTATTGTTGAATTGTTGTCAAATTTTGGTATTTTTCAAGCTTAAATTGAAATTTGATATTAATTTGTGAGGATTTCTCTTGGGTTGTTGACATCTGCTGTAAAATGTCAAAATATGAATTGCTGTCAAGGAGACAAGCGTTTCTAAAACTCTAAAATTCATGCTTTTTGTAGATAAAAGGTTTTGGTCACAGAACTGCAACACAGGGGATCCCTCCAGTTATTTTGAGTGTCGTTTCACGTTACATAATTGGGCAAAGGAATTTGTTTTTCGAAAGTGACAGGTCTCTGTCAGTTACATGCTGACAAGGGGTACAGTACTTACGAAAGCAAAACAGCAGTGTTACTAAGCACACATTTACACACAACACATTGGGACCAAGTGTTGTTTACTGTTGTTGAGGGCTGTCAGAGACTTCAAAATACCCCCTTGTCATTCATGGTTTAGTTACTATCCTCACCAGTTAAATAATCTTACCTAAATATTTTAATATTTACATTTTTTATCTCTCTCTTGAGAAAATAAAAAAAAAAAAAAAAAAAAACTAAGCTTCAAGTTGTCAATAATCGGCTCTTACTTTTTGTCATTAAAATCAAGATTAAAAGTGCTTTTATAAATCTTTTCTTCTCTATGTACAATTTGTATTAGCTATATAAAAAAAGATGAAAAAAAGCAATAACATCAAAGACAATCATTATCATCATCACCATGTAGTAATAAATAAGAGTAAAAAAAAAAAAAAAAAAGGTTAAAATGAGTGTGGAGATCTAGAGCACACAAAGGAACATATGCATGATTCTCTGCCCTCAGTAGCAAGTTGTGATTGTGACCAGTGTCTCTACAGCGTGAGGTAGAGAGCTGGAGACCTTCGGGAGAGGTAACAGGGTCTTTCACAGATAACGGGGCCTCGACCCAAACAACCACCCAGCAGCCAGGAGTCAGCCTGTATCGAGCTCTACTAGTTGCTCATTTTCATTTTCAACACATGTTGCAAGTAAACCATGTGACTGTTTAAGTATTCAAACAGTCACATGGTTGATGGAGAGAAAATAAAAATGATTCTCGGGACTCAGGCTATCAAATAGTCTCTCTCTTTGGCTCTTCCCTTTCACGCACCCATGCATTTGTGCCATTTTCAGACACACATCACACACACAAACGCACACAAAGTGAGAGATTCATTGATTCAATGCATTTGCATTTGGCGCCAACTCCCAGAAGCTACAGTAATTTTCCAAGGTCTCCCTTTAACTCTCAGTATTATTGTTTTCTCTGTGAAAGGGTTACCAAAATGCATTGAATGACTGTGCTTTCTCTGCCCTGTACAGTGTACTTTGTTTGAGACAAAACCACTTGGCCGCAAGAAAAAGGAACACCAGTTCTTAACCCCAATGACAAAGCTGCAGCCATAGGGCAGCCACTTTGATTGGCTGGCTCTGTGGTGACAAAAGGTGCCTGCAGAAGGACACACCTCGCTCTGCTCGAAGATGACAGCACCATGCAGAGGAAGGAGTTGGCCCTTCACAGTAAATCAAGTGTAATAGGAGAGCACCAAGTGTGTGTGTAGGAGCACCAAAAGCACTGCTGTCCCAACACTGTTTCCTTCTGCTCTAGCCTAGCACGGCCTTCCCAAAAGCATCTCCAAACTTCATTCACATTTGTGCCACAATGGGACAGACAGCAGCTTCGCCTTGAGCTGCTCTGGTGAGACCCATCCACGGTCAGCAAACAGGATGTGAGATCCCCCTCTACTGGCCATGGATGGTTAAAGCAGCAAGACAAGGCTCTACTGGCTTCTGAATGGCTCTCAAGTGCTTGTAGGTTTGTTTGTACACACCACTTTGAAAAGGCAGGCACTGCTGCCCTCTAGAGTTTACACTGTGAATTGCTCATCCCTAACTTGAATGTTATAGGAAGATTAAGTCTGCCACCTGTCCCATCTCTATGTGGCAATTACAGATCTGGGTCAAATGACATTTGCAAATAGTATCATTCGCCTCTGTGGAGTACCAGATATGTACAGTTTTTTCCCCATAGAAAAACATGACAAGCAAAGGAAAGCATTTGTAACATAATTCATTATACTTTTCTTTGCATGACAAATTTGCTGCAATCACATCATTCTGGTACTCCGCCTTGGGCAGAAGAAAAATATTTACTTGCTAATACCAGATGAGCCAGATTTGAGAAAGAGCACCTAAGTACAGCATCAAGTGCCATGAAGAGTAGCGGAATGAGAATCGATCAGAGCTGGAAGTTGAGCACCAGTCGAAAGCTGGAGGGGTGCAGAAGAGGAGGAGGAACACATCATCGAACGACAAGAGAAACAGCAGAATCTGCTCCCAATTTCGTTTAAAAGGCAAGTACACATTTTTTTAAGCTGTTGTTTTGTTTAAAACAGTTTTTTAAGCTTTCTAGGGCCTCTGCTTTCCCACACAGTCACAAAACAAATACAGAACGGCTGAAACCAAGCACTGCTCTTCAGCTATACTCATGTAATATAAAAGAAGAAGCAGTCTTCATTTTGAAGTTTGTGTGTTCTACTTGTTACAGTAGCCACATCAACAAGGTACACTATAAATGTGCAAATACAACTGAATATTCTGACATACACTGTATTGTTTTGACTGTGTTGGATATCTGTCTTTACGTCCTTCTTTGTTTTTTTCCCTACTAGATGTGTAGACAGGAATAGAATGTATACTTTTTGTACGTAATGCTGGGAGGCTGAAGTGCAAAGATTTATCCCATTCTTAATTAGTTCCAGGCAATATTAAATTAATGTAAATTAATGTTTACAATTTCCAGTGTTACTGTGCTGTGTAGTGCTGCTGGTAAGACAGATTCTAATCCTTATGAAGGCCAAAATACAAGCCCAGGTTGATAATAACTGTAAGTATCCTTTATGAAGGCCTAAACTGGCTTTACATATCTTAAAGATACATGTCTAATATAGAGATACTTATCTCTATATTGCCAATATAGAGATAGATATCTAAAGGCTTTTTATAAATACACGTACATGTGATTACAGTAATATTGATTTGCTGTCTTGCCGGACAGACAATGGCTCCTCCTCTAAGTACAGCTGGAAGATTGACAAAAACAAAGAAGATCGAACAAAAAATAGGGTACATGTTTTCCAAACATGGAAAAAGCAATTGTCTGAGTCTGACTGACTCAGACTGATTGATTTAAAAAAATATATAACCAAAAACAATCACATCATTAATAACATTAATGAAAACAGCAATAATAAAAAAACAACAAATCTTCATTATAATAATACCTGTAATAACAACATTGACAGTAACAATAGCAATCATAATAATATTGATAATAATAGCAATAATTAGAATCATTAAAATTCTATAAACAAGAAAAAGCAATGGAGTTCCTCTCCAGGGAAGAGAGAGGAAGAGCACCACAGGCAGTGTGTCTGAAGCCCAAACCACTGCCTGACATGAGGTAAAAAACAATAAAAATGTCCCCTCCTCCAAGTGGACTGCGGAGGGGGCAGGATGGAGAGATGCCAGACTGCGGGACGGCTGAGAGACATTCATCCTGCTCATCGCTCTCTCCAGCCCTCCACTGCACCACTCTGTAGCTATCAGTCATTTTCTGTCTGTCTGAACTTAGACAAAGTGGCTGTAGGGCCCAGTGAGGCGGGTGAAGGCATAGGGAGACACAGTAACCATAGAGGTGGTGTGGAAGGTGGGGGTTACCCGCGTCACTGGCCCCTCCCTCTTGTCTTTAGATTGTCCAGGTCCTGGACTGGCACCTGTCACCGTAGCCCCCCACTTACGTTTCTTCCCAAGGGCCTTTATGTCCTCCTGGGAGAGGCCCAGAAGAGCCGCTTCCTGCTGCCTCTGCAGTGCTCTCTCTGCCAGTAGCTTCATTTTGGCCTCCCACAGAGCCAGGCCATGCATGGGCTGGTTGAGGTTCTTGTGCTGGTAGAAGACCAGGGAGATGCGGGTGGGGTGGGAGCGATCAGGCTTTTTGAGCGGAGTGGTAGCATGTAGTTCCCGACGAGCACATTCAATCAGGATAGAGCCGTGGGCTGGTGCTACAGCTACACCACCAATGTTGGGATCCAGAAAGTTGTGCTCACTGTCAGACCACACCTCATCATCGTCCTCTTCACGGCCCTTGTTGCTCTCAACATCACTCTCAGCTCGGCTGGGGTTCCAGCAGGCCTGATCAGACTGCTGCAGGGCATCAGGGAAGAGGCGACCCTCAGGGGCAGGGGACGGGGTACTGCCTGCCACTGAACCTCCACAAGACTTCCATGCCTTCTCTTGGAGCCCAAGGGGAGTGGAACACCGACTTTCCCCGGTCTTGGACCAGATCTTGTCAGGGTAGGCTCCTGCAGGATTGCTGTGCTTCAAACCAGGGCTATATGCCACAGGGCCCATGGCCCAAGCATTCGGCTGAGGACCAGGAGCTGGGCTGGCCCAGTTCCTTGGGGTGACTGGGCCTGGGGTACCTGGCTGTGGTGTAACTAAGCCTGAGTGGGGGTTACCAGGCTGTGGTGTACCTGGGTGAGGGGTGGTTGGGCGTGGGGTGGCAGGGCGCGAGTGGCCTTGATGTATGTGACCTGGGAGCACTGTGCCTTGATGAGGGGATGGAGATAGAGAGGGAGGTACCTGGAGGGATGGTGATGGGGCAGGGGAAGCCATCAGGGCATTTGATCCAGGGTAGGATGTCCACTGCTGGGGGTAAGGAGAGGGCTGCCGCTGCTGGGGATGCTGGTGAAACTGCTGCTTGTCCGGGTTCAACAATAAGGCTTCAGGATTTTGTTTAGGGTTCAGATGGCTGTCCCAGTTGGTGGGAACGATACTTCCGTTAAGCTTGTGCCCTGGCCAGGCCATGGGCTGCGGGGTGGTGCTAGGTGTGTTGGCACCAGCCTGGCTTGGCATTGTGCCTTCATAGACTGGCACATCCATAGGCTCCTGTTTGATGACTGGAGTGCCTCTGTTGGAGGATTCAGAAGAGACAGAAGAAGGACGGGACTGGTTGTAGTCCACAGGGTGGGTGTAACCACTGTGGTTTGGTTGGTTGGCTTGCTCTGTGTAGCTGGGGTAGGACTTGGCCAGTCGGGCCTGAAGGCTCTGAATATCAGGCTTCTTTTCTACCTGGTCAATCTTGCTGCCTGCTTTGGGCAAAGCGCCATTTCGACCCTCGTAGGTCCTCAGCTTAGGGGGGAAAAGTGCATTGGGGGGATAGTTGTAGTAGCCATAGTGCATTGCAGTGTGGTGGTAACCGTTTACTGGGTCTGGTGCAGAGGGCTGGCCAGTTGGGGGAAGGCCTCCCCTTGCATAGTAGGCAGGGTGTGGATAGATGTTGTTGAATGGGTCTGGTGCCTGCACAGGGTATCCATCTATTGATCCGTTGAAGTGCTCTTTCTTGATGTTGGGCTTCACCTCTTGTTTTATAATTGCTGAATTTTTGGAACAAAGGAAGTGTAAATTACAATTACAATTCAAATGCATTTCAGTTTGTAATTGATAATGTCTTCTGTGGACCTTTGTATTGGAGTCCTGTTACACACTAGTTGCAGGTTAGGGATAGGGTAAATGCATTTTAGGCTAGTAGTACACTATGAGTGACATAAAATACACAACACAGTAACTGACCTTTATTGCCTTGGGGTTGAGGGGAACCGGGGATGCAGACCTCTGCCTTGACCACAGTCTTCTCTGGTGTCTCCCCTGACTGCATTAGCTTATTTTTCTTCTTCTCTGAGGAGGCCTTCTTGGCCTCTAGTCTACGCTGTCGGCAGGACTTGGCCGGTTCGGGCAACTTGCGTACCTCACGGCGGAAAGCCTGAAGCACCTGGATGGCCCCCGTCTGCATCTTGAGGCGCTGGGCCTCCTCACTACCAAACTCATCAGTCAGGGAGATCTTGTAAAGAGGCAACACATGGAGCTGCTCGTCCTCAGGAATCCCCTTCACCTTACGGTTGTCCTCCTTAGTTAAAGTACACACCTAACAGAGAGAGAGAGCAAGATGACATGTACACTGTTTCAGGCTACCAATCACTCTTTATTCAAATTATGTAGCTTATTCACACAAATTTAGGAGAGTGGTCAGTCATCTTACCACTGTGCAACCATTGTAGAGGTTGTGCTGGTCCTTATGAGCATGGGCACAGAAGTCCATGCAAGCAGTGACTCCAGAGAATGGACGGCCTTCCTTCAAGCCCAGCCTGCACTCTGGAGCTTTCGACTCTGACTGGCACTGAAGAAGAGGACAGAGATAACTTCATTTCCTTACATTCATCCAAGATTGACAGAGACACAGCTGTTTTTTAGTGTAATATGTCATACTGTAAAAATAACTTAAAAGAATAAGTTGAGTCAGTTCCTGCCAGTAGATCTTCTCGGTCATAATTTATTTAAGTCTTGATGGTCTGGTGTACAGCACTACTCATTGTGTGTGAGGAAGATGACAGGCATAGTTGGTGGGTGCATGAGGTTATTATTGTCTAAGCCAATAAATGTACACTGATGGGTATTTGCCTGTACAACAAACCTGGTTACTGTAAGCCTGTGGGGCCAGCTTCTGGTACAAAGGAGCCACCTCAGTTGCCAGATGCTGGAATCGATCCCTGAGTTTTTCCTCCTGACAAGCAAAAACATGGATCACAGGTCAGAGCAAAACACAGGGCCACCGAGCTATAACAGTATCTTAAAATTACTTAAGATTACGAAAGTGACTTAACTCAGTATATTCCTGTATAATGCTATAAAACAAGTGGCTTTTATAAGATGAGTACCTCTTCAGGGCGATCTCCTTGTAGCCTGAACTTGCGTGGCATTTTGCTGCGGGCGTACTTACAGCCATTAAAGTACATACTCCAGGAGCAGCCAAAGGAGAAGGAAGCGCCACAAGTTTCAGGGTCCTTGCCTTGACACGCACAGGTACGACTGCAGGGGGAGACAGTGAGCACCCTCTTAGCTTAATGTATAAATGATGTGTAACCCCTGAATGCTTTACATTATGTGGAGCAGAAAATTATCAATGAGGAAATTTGTGCAATATTTCATTTGCAGCATTACTGTTACAGCACATTAGTTAAGCCTTTTATCTATTTATTTGATCTTGCATTTAGATATGTATAACAGACAGATTAAATTTGACCTACAAGTTATTATAGTTTTGTATTTTTCTGTAGTTTTTATTTATTTATTTTTTAAACACAGTCTCAATAAACATATGACCCAATGCCTGCTCTTGCTTGTCTTGACAAATTGGAACAAATTTACCAAGACTAAAACATCTCTTGTATATTGAGTTAACTGAAATGTGTTTTTACACCTAATTTTACTTTACTACATTAATCTTGCTACTAAAATCATTCACTAGGCTAATACAACACAGAAGCTGCTAAGCCCCAAATGGTGAATAGTGGTTTGTCTGAACCAGGTTAAACAAGGGTGTGTCCACATCCATTCATAGCAAGTGGGAGTGGGATGTATGACATGTACACAACTGGTGACAACGGTGCATAATTTTGCTTTTGTGTATACAAACATTATTTGGCTTGAATTAAGCTTTATGCCTCTGGAATAATTTCCCATGTCACAGATGCCCATAGGACCACAGAGTAGGCTATAGATCTCCCACCTGATAGGTTGAAAGCATACTTTCACTGATGTCATTGGTCTTCCTGAAATTTCTCATAGGATGTTTCAGTAGCATGTGCTTCAAAATAACTCCTCCTCCATAAACAAAGTACCGGACATACAGGTGTAGTGACAGCCCCGGCAATGCAGCATAATGCTGACATGAAGACAACCTATCTGTCTGTCTGCATCAGAGTGTACCCATCAGCTACTCACTCATCGTTGAGGCCACAGCGTCGGCTGGTGGGGTTGCCAAATTTGGTGAGGCTGTCACTCAGCTCACGGTACAGTTGGTCAGCCATGGCCTTCGGGACACCTTCCCAGGCCATAATGAGGATGATGATGACAGCGTTGGCACAGTGGTGGCCAGCACGATGGCGCACAAGACACAGCAGCTTCTCTGTATCACTGCTGCGACGGATCACCTGACAGGACACAGAGCTTATCATTATTTTAGTTTTTACTCATCATGGGGAAGTTCGGCAAACACCCTGGTTCTTTACCAGCAAAACCTTCATTTATGCTCACTAAGTTTCACTTTCTCTGACTTTAATACACAATGACATTGTTGACTGATTCTGTCAACATTTGTTCCTACTATGCAGTAACCTTTAGATGTCCAGCACACACAAATGCCTCTGAAATACTGAACAAGGCACAGTAAGAAACAGTTGATGTTTACACTGCATACTGGAAGGATATTTGATACCTGTACTGAAATCTGACCTGCTGTGTTGACTGGATACTAGTCCTAAATCTGCTTATGATGCCATAGGTTAAACATTTAGCTTGACAGTCAATTCAAATTATACATACTAGTATATATTCTCTATGCAATATACAGATCTTACACTATAACATACACTAGAGGACAATGAAAGAAATATATTTATATATTCATAAATATGCAATATGCCTTAATGTCTGGCCACAAAAGATACAGCAAGCCTGCTCCCTTTCACTTTTACTATCTCTACACTCACCCAACCTCTCTGTCTCCAACACACACACACACACACACACACACACACACACACACATACATACAGACACAGACACTCTCACACTCACCCTCCCTCAGGATGGCTGTTTTGAATCCATAAAGTCATTAGCAGGATGTGTGAGGGGTGAGACAGGAGGAGACGGTGGGCAGTTGTTATAGAGTGAGACCTCCTATCGATTCACCAACTGTGATGACAAACTTGGCGAGGTGTCTCCCCAGGACCCCTCACTAAACACACACACTGCATAAATCTATTGTGGATTGACTGTCATTATTGTTGGGTGGGACAAAAGTCCAAAAACACCTCTACCTAAAAAAAATTGTTTTTGAAAGTCATGGACCATTCTTTTAAACCACCAACAGGAAAAACAAGAGATCTTGACAATACCAAGTATCTAAGGCTATTGCTTTGTATCCCACTGCAACCACCTACCCACCTAAACTTCACCCACACAGCGGATGTGATGTGATGCTACTTACCCATTTAGCAATAGGACATCCTCGCGAGCTCTTTCCCTCTCTGCCAGTGTACACCACCTTCTCAACCCGGATGGCATCGCCTTTCTCACCATACCTACACAGAAGGAGAAACAGTTCAGTTACTTTAATGTTTATCCATTTCAGCAGGCCTGATGCCTGACTTTAAAGATCTGACATGCCAGGCTGTGGCCTAAACTTAAACACATGCTGTACTTTTCTGTGTGTCAGGGGCCTGAGGGCCACCAAGGCGACCTCAAAGAACCATCACCATCAAAAGCTGACTGGTCAGAACCTTTGCATTGTTTCTTGCTGCCTCACATGTTCTGTTAAAAGACTACACCTGACAGCCAGTTGCCAGGGTTGCCAAGATTAAACATGATCAGTTGGCCAAATGGTTGCATATAAAGGACAACTGGTGAATGCAAAAACTGACCAACTAACTAACATGGCTACTCAATGACACCCCAACAGCACCACAGCAACTGCTGACTGCTGGCTTGGTGTATCAGCTTTAATAGGAGATACACTCCTGCTGTTGCTGAAGTTAATGATTTCTTTTTGTCAGGATTCAAGGGTCATCAAGGGTGTTTCTTTTTTTTACCTGTGTTGCTCTGTGTTTATTTTCTGTGTACCTACAGGAGTCTGTGGGAGTAGAAGTATATGTCAACTGACAAAGACAGGCCAACCTCAGCAGCACTGGCTGGTGAGGAGTGTTTACAAGGCTCTGCTGAGATTCACACAAGCATGGCAGAGTAAACCAGAACCCACTAACGTCAACACAATGCCAGCCCAATGAACTAGTAGTTCTGTGCTGATGTTTGTGTCCACATGTGTATGCATGAGCGTATTTTGTGTACACACATTTCTATTTGCTTTGTGTTTTGTGTGTGTTTGTGTCTGCGAACACCTGCCTGAGCAAATAATGGCGATTTAATAGTATTCCTAAAGGCTCTTATACACTCGCCGTTCCCGACCTGTAGCGCGACAATGTGACGTCACAGGAGCGGCGTAACTATTTATACTTGCGCGTGGTGGTCGCAACACTAGTTGCAGTCTTCTCCTGAACAGAGGTGTCGCAACTGAGGACAGGCTACCGACTTTGCTATTTCTACGCACTAGAAGAAGAAGAAAAAGGTAAACAATGGCAGACCTCTTTTTTGATTTTCCAAATCGGTCACGGAGGTTCTTCCAAATTTTCCAGCATATGGCCTCCTCTTTTCCAACATTTCTCGCCATGAATTCTGGTACCTCTGGGCATCTCTGTGTTCCTTCATTGAAGGATCGTACAGATGCCTGTAGAGGCGTACTTGCTCGGAAAGCTTGCCGGAAATCAATCTACGCGAGATCTACGCGTGATCTACATCATTTTGACGTCACATTGTCGCGGGACAGGTCGGGAACGGCGAGTGTATAAGAGCCTTAATGGTGCATGTGTTTATTTCTGCAGGTCTGTTGGTAGAGTGGGGAGGTGTATAGGAGGAGGGAAGGGTCAGAGGTTGTGTTGGGGTGGGGGCAGGACATCAGAATTTGTCAGATATCTGCTCACGGCTCCTATCAGGTCTCCCGTCCGCTTGATACCTGCCATTGTGAAAACCTCAGCCCTGAGTAGATTTGGTGTGACAGTGAACACAAGGGGCTCTTGCTGAATAGGAATCAGCCTGAGGTGGCCGAGAGAGTGGGAGGGAAGTAGGCTCTATCACCACAGGGGTGGCCTGCTGGGGTCAGGGGTGGGTCAAAGGTCAGCCAGGGACATTGGGGTCTTAACTCTTATGTCATCTCTCAAACAACAAAAAGTGGTCCTGGCCTAACATCCCCCCTCACTCAGCCCATGCTCTCCAGGGACTAATGACTCATTGGTGCTATTGAAATCCAGCCTTTCAGTGAACAGCAGCCAAATGTATGCCTCACTATTGGTAATATGAAGCACAACACAATGAGGCATCCGGTTATAGAGGGTTATTAGAGTGCAACTACAAGACGATTTCAGAATGTGTTAACCAAAAATGTGTGACAACTTTTTATTAATCGACAGTTCAGCGCCATTCATCAGTGTTATATTTTAGTAAGATAGCCAAACAACATTTCCATTATAGAAGCTATAGCTGCACTTTGGTTAACTGTCTTTTTAATACCAATTCTGCTGACACATTGGAGACAAAGTCACAACAGCTTATTCTATTGGTTTGGTGCGGCAGTCCACTTCGTACTGTATATGTGACATTAATTAGATCAGAGTCCTGATGGCTAATACAAAATGCCATCTGCTCATACCTTCAATTTGACTGTAAGATTATTTGTTTTATTTGAGGTTTCAAACTTCAGCTTTGAATGTACATCATCTTTATTTAAAAAGTTATCACCAAATTTCACCCTTAATTAAGACTACTACTGCTACATAATATAAATCACTAAATTAAATAGAAGTGCACAAAAGCATTTCTATTATTCTTTCTACTAAAAGTTTACTGTCCCTCCTGTTCCTCTCCCTTCATCTGTCTCTGTCTGTGATCTGATAATATCCTTCTTCCTCCCTAATTCCTCTCATTCTCGGCTATCATCTGCTGCTACTCTTGTGCTTCTTGCCCTGCCTCTGATATGCTGATGATGCTGATACTTCCTGTTCCCTCCTCTTACTGGATTCTGGGTCATGGATTCCCTGAGGACAAAATGTGAGGAGGAGGGAAGGTGGAGAGAGAGGAGGAGGAGGAAGAGGCAGAGAGGAAGAGGCAGAGAAAGCAAGAGCATGTAGGAGGAAGAGAAAAAGAGAAGAGAAGACAAGAGAAAAGAGGAAGGCTCACCTCTTCTCCATCAGGTCTCGTATGGAGGCTACAGTAGGTCCAGATCCCAGGTGATTGTAATAGGGTCCTTCATCTTTTTCAACAATTTGTTCTAGAAAAAAAGACAATAGAGGGTGAGGAAACAGGACATAACTTGACCTGAAAAAGCACAATGGCAAATTACACACTTGATTGTACACAATGACGATGATAATGTATGTTGTATTACATATTATAACTACTAAATATAGGAAATATCTAGTCTGGCAGTTCTATAATTATGAAGTAATATAAGTGTTAATACTACACTTATATTACTTTATAATTCATTTTCAACTTCCTTATCTTACACTCTGAGAGGAAGTGGGGCAAAATTTGACTCACTTTACTAGCATGTGTTTTATTGCTTGATCGAAACAAAACATTGGAATTGACACAGAGGAGTGCAGCAGGAGCTATTATTACAGTCATCAACATGTACTGTTTTTAGTGAATATTTATTGTAAAATCTTGTGTTAATTTGTAGAACGACAACACTAGTACCAACACAAGAAATTGAAACTCTGCATTAAATATATTACGTTACTATACTTACATAGACATAATTTTTCTTGTGTATATTATCAGCAGCATCACAAAATACCTCCGTGGTGATTCTCCTTAGGTTTAATAAATGTTTTTGCTCAGCGCATTATCTAATAAATAATTTCTCTGCCTCAAATCCTAATTTACTGAACCTAGATAGAGTCCTGCTTGAAGCTAAAGTGTTTACCTTTGTTTGAAGTAAATGTTTCACTCAAGTTGATCAATGAAGTCCTTTGGCTTCAGTAAAGAATGAAGCTGTGTCATCACATATATTCACATCTCAGTTTTTGTAGAGTTTTGAAAAAAGTTAAAGCCGTGTGTTTTGATGTATTTTCTGGAGAATTTCAAAGTCCTTATCTACTCTTTGTTGGTGAAGCCAAGTTATCTATGAAAAGCGTGAGAATATGCAACTGATGCAACATCCAGTTCACACAAACACACATGAACACACACAAACTCCCGACACACAGACAGTGGGCTGTAGGGTGTGGTGCGTGTGGAGACACTCTGTAAAGAAGAAGCTCTTTGAGGTAGTGATGAATGACTCCGTTTGTGTGAGTGTTAAGAGGGAGTAAGGGTGTGTCTGTGTGTGCGCTGTGTACAACTTTGTTTGTGTTTATCTTGTGTATGCGTGTGCATGTGTGTGTGAGTGCATTTGACCAATGTCCTACAAATGTTTGTGGTTGTAAACCACGTCCTGTAAGTGTTAATCCTTGTATGTGACACTGTGCAAGTGAATGTAGCCTACATTAAATGTTAGATTCTAATGGACTTTCCATTGCTCTTGCTTCTGGTACAAAATCTGTGAACATTTCTTTATCATAGTGTAGCACACACTCTAGATAACAACATTAGCTGGTAAACGCTCTAAATGAAAATGCACTACACTATCAACTGATTATCTAAAATGTGGACATACACTCAGTGCTGTGTGAGTCTCTGGTTCAGAGGCAATATGAGGTCACATTCCCCTGTTGGTGCAGGGAGAAACCAGGGCGTGGCTCAGAGCAGGAAGTGGAGGAGTCATTCTAAATTCTTGTGTGGGAATTGGTTGTGTGTGTGTGTGTGTGTGTGTGTGTGTGTGTGTGTGTGTGTGTGTGTGTGTGTGTGTGTGTGTGTGTGCAACATGGCTGTATAATGTATCTGTGTGTGTTGGGAGTCTCATTCCAGTGCAGTGTTATGCTACAGGGAGTTGACAGGGCAGTGTGTGACCAAGCTTTACTATGTAGACTTGTTGTCTGCTGGTCTTTACTACAAGTAACAGCACACTGCTAGCAAGTGTTTTCCTGCAGCTGCTCTCCCCCTGCTGTGCACCCTGTTCAATGTTTAGGGACAGCAAGTGTCTATTTACAAGGCCTTAACCCTTCATAGCCCTACAGTTAATACTCAGTTACTGCAAGAAAATTGTTGCAATTTCTTGATAGCATTTCTGAGAACAAACTCTTTCATTATTCAGTTAATGAGCTGTTAACCACAGTAGTTATAGCAGTAATATTCAGATTTACTCAGTCATTAACCAAAGACATAATGGACGATTAAAATAGTCTTCTTGAATAATAAAGATCATACTTTTTCCCTCATTTAATGTGGGTGTATCGAAGGGTAAATCTACCTGGACTGACTTTGTCTACTTGTTAAGGCCGACAAAGTTTTTTTCTTCTTTTAAATATGTATATGATGTATAATTTTCCATAGATTTCTACTCTAGGACCACCTACTCTGTTGTAAACAAAAAACCTGAGCAGGGTACTACCCAAAGTATGGGACTGAACCCTTTTCTGTCTGACAAAGGCTCTGTTCTGCTTGCCTGCCAGACCCAAACACACACAAAAGCCTCCTTCTGCCACCACTGCTATTGTTCCTGCCCACTGCCTTTAGTGCCTCACACTGTCGCAGTCTGGATGGTCGCAGCCCCACACCCTGGCAACACACACATTCTAAGACACATTAAACAAGCATCCAGTCAGAGAAGCTGAGGAAAACCTGAAAAACCTAATAGTGGATATGTGTAGTTAAATAAATAAAGCACTAACAGTGACATCATTATGGGTTCATTAATTCAGTTCATCAACTAACACATGAACACATGATTTCCAGATTTAAAAAATGTTTCCTCAAAGAGTCTTCCCTGCAAAATATGCATGCTCCCCTGCTGCTATAAAGCACTTCAGAAAAAAGCCTTTATTATCTAACACTGGTCAGGTTTACTGTAAAGCAAACTTAAAGCAATTTATCTCCACTAGGGGATGACAGGGAATGTTTGGAGTGGTGTGATATTTTTTAGAACATTATTGAATATTTGTCTGAAAAGTGCTAATGGACAGCAACCTCATCATCCTGCATACACACAAGCATAGACACCAATACACTGACTTACCCACACAGGTGCAGGTGGGGAACTCTGCCTGTAGATCCTTGGAAGGAGTATCCAGCAAGGTCTTGGTGGGGCTGTCCAGATAGCGCAGAGGAGACTCTAGGAAGCCTCTGAGAGATGGAGAGGAAGGTAGACTGTCCTTAGTGGGCGTGTCCTCCTCAGAATAGCATGTGGTGGAGAGTACTGTTATATCACCCGAGGCTTCAATCTTCATGCGTTTAGGGAGCGGAGAACCTGGCATGCTGAATGTATCCTCTAATACAGTGGGCTGCTGCTGCTTGTCCAGAATTGCCTCCTGATGCAGAGGAAGGGGCCCCTCATGCTGTTGCTCAATAGGGCTTTCTGTGGATACCTGGTTCAACGTTGCTTCACTTGGGGTCCCTGACTCATTCTTGTTGACTTCCATCTCCTGATCGTTTTGATGAGATGTGGAGCTGGCTTGAGTAGAGAGAGTTAAGGGAGCCAACTGGGATTTGGATGAAGATGAGGGACTGAGGTCTTGAGGACTGGTCTGGGACCAATTCCCCAGCTGAGGGGCAGTAGTGGTTTGCACCATGGACTGACTAGCAGGTGCATTGGAGTCCCCAAATTCAGCCTCAAACTGGCGGATCAGTTCTTCGTACTTCGGGTCTATGTTAATGAGACTCGGTAGTTGTGAGGTGCTTGATGGAGATGTGGAGGTCAGAGGTGTGGTGGTGCTGGTGTTACTGGAGGCCAGGCTGCTTGCTCCCTCTGACTTAGCATGGGCTACAGGGGCCATGGGTGGGGGCAGAGGACCCATGAGGGCTGGAGTGTTTTCTGACAAAGCAGAAACAATGGAAGAGGGAGTCATTGAGGAGTTGGAAATTGATACCTGAGATTGGGCTGGGGCAGGGAGGCCTGCAGCAGCAGCCTGAGTGGAGTTACTGTGGAGGGGCAGAGAGGGGAGAGAACCTGGTTGCAGGCTGGTCAGGGCCGGGGCTCTGTCCATGATGAGGACTGGTGGTTTTTGTATGGTGATCTGATTCTGAGGCAGGAAGGTTGGCATGGAGGCTTTCTGCTTGGTCTTCTTGATAATTATCTGTTTGGGTTTGGGTAGGGGAGGGCCTGTAAGCATCCCACTCATAGCTTTTATGACAGGAGATCCTTGGCTGCTTTTTTTCTTCTTGGGTTCCTTGGGTTCCTGTTTGATAGCCAGATGGGGCAAACCTTCTGACTCCATCTGTGGCCACCATTTTTTCAAGTTTTGGCAAGCCAGAGGTGCATGAGGGCCTGGTGCTCCAAAGCCAGGGGAGTGGTTAGAGAAGAGGTTCCTCTTGTAGTGAAGGTGATGTTGCAGAGCTGCCTGAGTGGAGTGACTGATAGCTGCTTGGCCAGGAGACAGGGGAGTGCCAGGGTAGTGCTGACCCTGTTGCTGACAATTAGCCATGCCATAATGTCCCATGGAGGCAGTGTGATGGTAGTGCTCACCAGATTGTGGCTCTTGCTTTATTCTGGCCAGTGCTGGGTGGTCCTGTGCCTGGATACCTCCATTCTGGCTCAACCTGAGCTGCTGTGTGACTGGAAGCTTGAAAGGAGCATTGCTGAACTTGCCACTGGTGTCACCAAGCAGCTGTTTGAGCTCTGACATGGGGTCTGAGTTACTGTGAGGTGCAGCGGCGTAGTGAGACTGAGGCTCAGAGTTCATACACATCCATGGATTCTTCTGTTCAGAACCTCTGCCTGAGCCCTGCTGCCACTGCTGGGGATTGGGGCTGAAGCCTCGATGTTTTCCCTGACCTGGGAAGGGAGAGGTAGAGGATGGGAGAGGGGTAGCATGGGGTGGCTGGCCCTGGGATTGGGGCCTGTGGTGCTCACAGGATACTGGTCCCTGCTGGCTCGTGTGAAGTCCTGGAGGGACAGATTGAGAGCGTGAGGAAGATGAGTGGGTGCTGGGAGAGGACAGGATCAAGCTAGTGCCATTGGGGGGATGAGATGGAGGGTTTTGGGTATGTTGATGGTGATGGAGGTTACTGGTGTAGGGGGCTTGACCTGGAGAGCCGACAGCTTGCAGACCAGTACCAGCTAGCTGGGTCAGGGCTTCTATGGCGATGGCTGTCTGAAGACTGATGTTCTTTTCCTTTGCTATGGAGAGCACCTGGGGAGAGCAGGGAATTGGGGGTTTGGAGCAGGGCACTTGGTCTGGATGAGGGCCTTGAGTTCCCATTTGCTGCGTGGGGTATGAAGTAGACTGACGGTGGCCACCATTCACCTGGGGGTAGGGCTGAGGGTGACGTTGCAAATGGGGTTGCTGTAGGTGAGGCTGTAAGTGTCGAGGAGCATCTGACATCTTACAGGTGCCTTGGTCCTCACTTGTTGCCAACTTAATCTTCTTCTCCAGCCACTCAAGGTAGTCAGGACAGTCAGGCCCATCACAGTTGCAGTTAGGGGGCTTGTGTCCATGTTTCGCTTGGCTCAGTGCTGTTTGTAGGGTGTTCAGGTCTTCTGGAGGTTGGCAGCTACCCTCAGGAGCCCCTGCAGAGAGTCTGGCCTGAGCCCCCTCTGAACCCATCTCCTGGGTGAACTTCTCATATAGCTGGGCTGTGTTAGGCTGCACGAGGCAGGAAGAGGAGGAAGAAGGAGGCAAGGAGCCAGCAATAGCAGAAAAAGCTACCAGATTGTGGGCATCCTCCATGTTTGCGTGGTGGACAGGTTCATCAGGGTTTGTATCACTGCCGCTGTTCCAACATGGTTGCTGTTGTTGGGTGTCACTGACTTTGCCATGTCCTGACACCCACTGCCTTGGAGGCATGCTTCCTGCCCTCTGCTGCTCTGTTTCCATAGATGTCTCATCATTATTAGGGTAGCAATTTACCCCATTGGCCAGTTCCAGGCTCAGCGCGCCTTCCTGGAGGCGGTCATGTGACCCAATTTCCATCTGGCCTCCACTTCTGGGGCCATCCACTGAATCGACTTCGTGAACAGTCTGAAAGACAAACATTGAGCATGGTTAGTGGGGTTATAAGAATCCAAGAGTGATATGCCAAATAACATTATACACTGTATATTAGGCATTGTTTTTAATAACCACCCAGTTTTTTTTTTACTTTTTTATTATTTTTTATTATTTTTTATCTATATTCTAATAGTAATTTAACATAATGATAAATAACAATCATCAAAATAATATCAGGCTCCATTCTCTTCCAAGCTCTTATCCAGGGTTTCCTTCCCACCTCTCACACAAACAGAACATACAGTGCTGCAGGGTCAGGTCAGTAGGGCTAAAGAAAACTGAATTAACAATTGCTTCAGTGGAGTCATTTCAAAACAGGCAAGCGGTTTGTCAGGCTAGACACAAGTCATGTGACATAGTTTCACTGTTGTTTATAAAAGGAAACTTTGCTCCAGATCAGTAGGGCTATGCAAAGCAAGCAGTTGGAGTTAAAACATGTCACCCATGGTATTGACTCTAAGTAGGACTAGATGTGGTCACACTGAGGAGTGAAGAAAATTAAATATAAAATACAAAATTACTGTGAGATCATTGAAAACTACAACACTAGAGAAGAAGTATAAACTATACATTTTACTTCCACAGAAACAGAAAACTGCATCTGATTACATATGTTTGCTTATAATATAGTGTGGATTGCTTTCGTCAGCTAAACCAGATGATTATCATGTTATTTATTAAGTTATTATGGTCTTTGTTGAGTTATTGGGGCAAATGTTACTGATTTTACTTTGAAAGATAATTTCAATTGAAGTATTTTTTGCCATTGTTCACATTGAGCTTATTGATGTTTTTTCAAGCCAAAGTGCTCAAAAAGGATTTCAGCAGCAAACTGGAGCTAAAAGAGGTGTCCGAAAGTGTGCAGTTAAACTCTCATTCACTGGAGAGATTATCACATACCCAAGAAATTTTCATCCAAAACAAGACCTTAAATGGCAAATGTAATAGACAGGATCTAAGATACAAAGTCTGTTCAGTTGGCTTTTTATCTTCTGTATCTGTATTTTAGATGTTTGTCACAGACACTCCTTTTTTGTCATTACAACCCAGTATGCAGCGTAAGAAGAAAAAAAATCATACAGAAATATTTTAGAAGTCACAAATGACTCATATAATGTATCTCTTCTCAGACATTTGGTAGCACTAATCAGGAGCTGATCAGCAGCCACATATCTCACTTCCTCTCTAAGTTGAAATTGGGACAGTTACCACATTGGTAGCTAGACTGAAAACTGCAAACACAGGACCTGGACTTGTGTCACATTACATGATCAAAGCATTCTGTTTATTTTAGTCAGATTGAAATAAAATTGTAGACAATTAAAAAGCAATTTGACTACTAATCTGAATTATCTTGATATGTTAAAGCCAACTATGGTGTTCAAATTCCCTTATTTTTTATTTTATTTCAGGCCAAACAATCACACAAGACAAAAACAGGATATAATTATGGGATTATAAATATTACAGGATTATAAATATTTTACCTAAAAGAATAATTTCTACGGAGCCCCTAAAGGTACATGGAAAAAAAAAGAAAAAAAGAAACTTTTCTCGTGCTCACGAGAAACCTTAGGTTAAGCACAGGCAGTTGTGCTTCCTGTGCGTATAACTCTAGGCTCATTAACTGCGGTCAAGCCAGCCGTTACTCTGATCTCCGTGGTCAAATCAGCCGCACAATTTCGAGTGTTATATATTATATATATAGTGTTATATTCTCAGCATTATGGTAATTGCGGAAAAACAGCGTATTCACTTCCAGTTTTCAACATAAAGGTATTAAGAACAGTAAACTATCATTTGAACCTACATTTAAAATAAAATATGTTACATTAAAGTGTTTCATGCGACCATGATGAATAAAAAACACGCACAAGCATTTTTACTGCACCAATGTGGAGAAATGCCAAAAAAAAAGTTCCATATTTGTACCTCCAAGTGGCATCTTTTCTTATATTTGAGGTACTGTAAAAACACATTGCTCAATAATTCCTGGCTATGGATCATATATTTGACTTCTACACATATAAGACTACAAGTATACTTAATATCAAGCATTTTTACTGCACCAGTTTGGAGAAATTCAACAATAAAAGTCCATATTTGTACAACCAACAACCAATGTTAGCTAACGTTAAGTTCTCTGTCGCTGGTGGTAGCAACTGCGCATGAGCACTGTTGTGGCGCATCAACACATGACTCATTTGAATATTCAAATGTGTTGATAGGTCAGGACACGAAAATGTAACCAATGAAATTACTTATTTTGATACACATTTTTAGCCAATAAGTATTAAACTAACAAAGTAATGTGTCAAAAGGCAGATCTTTTTTATTATTTTCTCAAAAGGAGGACAAATGAGTGTCCGGCTTAAGGCTGCGCCTGCAGCCGGACAGGGCCTTTAAAGGCCGGACTGTCCGGCCTAAAGCCGGACGAATGGCCACCCTAGTAACGGCTGGCTTGACCGCAGTTAATGAGCCTAGAGGCATACTCACATGAAGCACAGCTGCCTGTGGTTAACCTAAGGTTTCTCGTGAGCACGAGATACTTTTTTTTCTTTTTTTCTTTTTTCCCATGTCCCTTTAGGGGCTCCGTAATTGTATAACTCAATTGAGAATTTTTTTTTCATCAAGAACCCCCAAAATAAAAATACATTTGAGCGTATGTAAATGTAGCATCATTAAATCTGTAAATATTAACAATGAAAAATCAAGTTTGTATCTTCACATGAATATATGTAGTTTTGAAGACTTTGAATTTGCCACAGTATTTTTCCAATTGTTTTTCCAGTCTCCTGGAGTACTCATAATTAAGTACTCCATACTACCGGGATGTTGATGTCATGGCTGTTGCTTCTAAATGTTCTAATTTCGCCTCAGAGACATCTAGTTTTTCTGTCCTCAAGGTAATGCCACCCGCCCTGCACCAATAGAACCAGTGTGAACTGTTTTTGCTATCAGCGCAGCTCCTTTGTTGGGGTCAGTTGCACAGGCCTGTAGTCCCCCAGGAATTATTGTTTATTTACGACACATAAATTCTCTTTAGGTTTTGGAATTCAAGTTTTAGCCAAGTTGTAGACATAACACTGCCGGGTGAGCTGCTGGCTAGTCAGCCACAAAGCTATGTTAACTTAGCTATGTTCACACAGTTGATGTTGTCAGAGAAGTAATATGCCCATAGCCTCAGACAAGGAATAGTAAGTCATCAGCAGGTTAAGGATTTATTGCAATCTGGTAAATGTGTGTGTGTAAGGAAGAGGAGGAGCTCAACCTCAGCCTACCTGTCCTGGCCGTTCATAATTTAACTAAACTAAATTATATAATATAATATGTATTCATTCAATTAAATTCACATCCATTACTTCACTTAACTGGAGGCGTGCACCATAGGTCAAAATCCGTTCCTCTCAATAATCCAACTCATTATAGTGCATGTTTCAAAGTTTGGTTTTAATCCAGACAATTTAGATTTAAATCAAGAATGAGGACAACTAGTGGAAACCTAAAATGTTATTTACACTTACAATATTCAGCCTAGGTTAGCTCCTCATAGATTATAATCAAATTAGTCTAGAGAGGAACAGCAAACAAAGCAAAGATAATCCAAGGGCAGGCTTAGAAATCATTGACAGAGTTAATGTTGTGGCTGAACAATGTATTACAACATATCTAACAGCCCTTGTGAGAAGAAAACAAAGGCAGACTCACTATACAATTACATTTTTGGGTCAGCCCCATAGAAAGAAGCCAACAACGTGTTTTAATAGCCTTTTTAGTGTCAAAGTCTTCAGCCTGTGTGTACTATAAACAGACAAGATACCATAAACAAGCACCTACGGGTTGGGAAAGGTCCCGTTCATGCATCAAAATTCACACCACAAACACTGATCTAAAGAGTAATGGGGATATCATCTTTACACAGACACACAAACTAACCTCAAGTTAGCTGATGGTCTCACACCCAAACATGAATGTGAACTAGTTCCTGATTCAGAGGATTCAAAAAAGAAAGAGAATCTTTTGTGTTTGTAGATCCATCAGTGTATGACAGTCAAAGTGAGCCTGGCGTCCGGCTTCCCCATCATTTGAATATTATTAAAATGAGCCTTTGAAGTGGCTAATTACTGGACAGGCAGTATGCTTGGGTCTTTTGAATTCCACCTTCTGCGCTGGGTGTCTGCTGGGGGTCCCAGGGGGTGGCAGTGGTATTGGTGAGAGGTGGTGTGGAGTTGGGGGGGGGGGGGGTGGGGGGTGGCAGTGAACAGCCGGCATGCAATACGTGAGAGGCCCCATGTCTGCACTATCAGTGGCATCAGATGGGAAAGAGGAAGGCAGGCGGGGAAGGGGGGGGTTGGCTGTGCACGGCAGTTATGAGAACTGCAGTGTGTTGTAACAGAGTGACTGCAATACTGCACAACCTCCCACAATCACGCACATCAGTCACACTGACACTCTCTTTTCCTCTTTTTCTCAGAGTCACATATACAAACCACTGCCGCAAAAGAAATGTGACATGTGACATGGGTTTAAAGCACCACAAGCTGTACACTGAGAACTCGGCTTTGCTGGTGCAGATAACAAATGTTGCATCGCACACAAAATAACAGTTCTTTGAATCCTCATATGATCTTGATTCATTGAGGTTCACTTTTTTGTCCAGGATGGACCAGCATAGAGACTCATACCATAGAGACGCACACCTGCAGCGCTTTGCCCCTATCCGGGTGCCTCGGACTGTACAGACCACGTGGTTTGACAAATATTTACACCGTGACAGAGTCTACTCTCTTGCCTATCTCTGTCTGCTCTCTAACCGTGTCGCTCTATTTCACACACAAACACACACACATTTGCACACCCTCGACAAGTGCACCCAGGAGCATCAACACATCTAACCGGATCAGATGTTGCAGAACCTGGTAAACCAGACACTTGAGTCTAGGAGCCTTTTAAACAAGAGAGCAAAGCAA